AGCCACCAGGCCCAAGGTCAGATAAGAGGAAGAAGCTGGAAAAACAAGGTCAAAGAAGGCACCCTTCCACACAGGAGGAAAGTGCAGCCCAGAGAGGCCAAGTGAGCAGCCCAAAGTCACACAACCAGCTATTGCTGCACCTGGTCTCATAACCTCACTCGTTAGTCCCCAAATCCAGAGTGTTTTACACCACATTGATTTGCTTGCCTCTAGTCAGGGAAATACTGTTTGCTGGCCTTATCAGTTTTTAAAAGCTTCTAATTTACATGAGGCAAGAAGATACCAATTTTAAGCAGAAAATCATAGACAGATGATCCTGGTGATCTAAATTGCATATTCATTCTACGATAAAAGCTAAGACTTCATGTCAGTCTGCTTTTCTGTGGGTCCCACACACAGTAACGCCCTTTGTTGAAGTTTCTATGAATAGAGGAAGGCCAGAGCTCACCAGAGAATAATCAATTTCCATTTAGGTCTATTTTTCTCACCCCCACCTCTTGGTGTTTTGCTTAATTCATCCAAGTGCAATCAAAACCAATCTACTCTCAAACCACCTTCGTTTTGCACTATTAAACTGTCAGGTTGTGAGGCTGTAAGCAAAACATTGCAATTACAACTTCCTTCCACAACTCATGAGTACCCCCATTTGAAGGTTCAAGTCTGTTGATGTACAAGCCCTACAGTCTAAGTACAAGTCACCTCCTCAGGGAAGCCTTCCCTGACCACCCACCATCCCTGAACCTTGTCAATCTCTTCTATCAGGCATCTTCTTAAAACTCTGACACAGGCTGGGCATGGTGGTTCATGCTAGGAATCCCAGCACTCTGGGAGGCTGAGAGAGGAAGGCTGCTTGAGCCCAAGAGTTTGAGACCAGCCTGAGCAGCACAGCAAGATCCCGTCTCTATGCAGTCCATGTGATGTGAATGTCCTTCTGCTCCCCCATTTTATGGCGGGGTTACCTTCATCTTTGCCTTGGTAAACATTCTTGATCTGCATTAACCTGAGCCTCCAAGAATTAGACTCCAACTCCATCCAGAAGCGAAAACACCACAGGGAATATGAGTTCCTGGAGAAAGGAATCAGTAGAGGAATGTTCCCTCCCCTCTCCTTCACCTCCCTCCTCCTCCCCCTTCTCCTCTTCTTCATCCTCCTGCTCTTCCAACCCCTCTTCCACCTCATCCTCTCTATTCTCCTTTTCTTTTTCCCAATGAGCTTCTCCAGTCCTTGAGTTTAGGAAGCCTCACAAGGCAAGAGCCAAGGTCCCAATAACTTAAGAAACATAGACTGGAGGCGCATTTAAGAGCACAGGTGTGCCGGTATGGTGACGCACACCTACAGTCACAGCTACCTGAGAGGCTGAGGCAGGAGGATTGCTTGAGCCCAGGCTGCATTAAACCGTGATCAAACCACTGCACTTCAGCCTGGGCAACAGAACAAGACCCCAACGCTCAAAAAAAGAAAGAAAAGGAAAAAAAAAGAGCCCAGATTCTAGTCCAGCTCCACCACTACTAGCCATGTAACCTTGAGCAAGTTACTCAGCCTCTCTGTTTCTCAGCTTTTTCATCTGCGAAATTAGGATAAAACCTTCCTCCTAAGATTTTTGTGAAGATTACAGTGACATATGCAAAGCATTAGACCAGTGCCTGGCACACAATTCTATACAGATGTGAGACATGTCACTCTACTCCACACACACCTCATGCCTCCACCTCTGCCACTCCTGCCTTCAGGAACAACCATGCATGAAGTCAGAGCAGTGCACTGGAAAGCAGCTTGGTGGCAATGTGATGGCAATCAAGTGCCCTGTGGGACAATGACACTTGCGCTACCAGGGAAGTAATGTGAAAATAATAGCAGGAAATAAGGTGCATGGAACACCCGACATGCAGCAGTTGCTCATTAAATGCTGTTATTTTTATGTTTAACACCATTGGTTGTAACTGATGATGCTATTTGCATGCTTTTATTCCCTATGTCAGGCTGCAAAATGTGTAAAATTCATCTGTGCTTATCACTATAACTTGAATATATAGGATGACAATCTGATAGAAATGTATCTTAATTGCCCAAGGCCAGAAACTCAATACCAGCCTGGGCAACACAGTGAAACCCTCTCTCTACCAAAAATTTTAAAATATTAGCCATGGCCGGGCTCAGTGGCTCAGCTGTAATCCCAGCACTTTGGGAGGCCGAGGTGGGTGGACTGCCTGAGCCCGTGGGTTCGCGACCCACCTGGGCAATTGGTGAGACTTCATCTTTACAATAAATCAAAAATTAGCTGGGCATGGTAGCACGCACCAGTAGGTCAAGCTACTTGGAAGGCTGAGAGGGAAGGATCGCCGGAGCCCAGCAGGTCGAGGCTGCAGTGGCCGGGAGTGGTCACTGCACTTCAGTCTGGGTGACAGAGTGAGATTCCAACTCCAAATATATATATATATTAGCCAGGCATGGTGGCTTATGCCTATAGTCCCTGCTACTCAGGAGGCTGAATGGGAAGGATCACTTGAGCCCAGGAGGTTGAGTCTGCAGTGAGCTATGATAGTGCCACTGCACTCCAGCCTGGGTGACAAAGTGAGACAGAGAGAGGGAAGGAGGGAGTAAGGGAAGAAGAAAAGAAGGAAGGAAGGAAGGAAGGAAGGAAGGAAGGAAGGAAGGAAGGTAGGAAGAAGGAAAGAAAAAAGAAGAGAGGGAATGTAGTTGAAAAACAAAGGCCAACTTCACAAAACCCAGCTCACGGCACTCAACCTCTCCCAGAGTTCCTGGAAGACCCTGGCCCACACCTAGACAGCTGCCCACCTGACATCCTTGGCTGATCGGGGACATCTCCCACTCCACAAGCCCCAAACAGAACTCGGGAGCTCATCCCTCAAACTGGTCCTGGTTGCCGTCCTGGCCATTCCAATCCCTCTGCCCTCCTCCACCACGCCACATCCGTGGGTTCCACGTCCCCCACAGATCCCTGCTCCGTCTACTTCTCCACGCCCACAGCAGCCACCGGGTCTGGCCACAACTGTGCCTGGTCCCCACAGCCAGAACCACCCGGCACTTCTTTTGAAACTTAGTCCAGATCACATGGCCCCTCCTCTTGAAGCCCTGCCCCACATCCAACAACACAGGGCTTTGGAGTCTCGCCCTGTGGACCACCCCAGTCACATCTCAAACACAAGCCCCTTGCTCTCTGTTCTAGCCATGGGAAACTCCTCCAGTTCCTCAGATACAGAAGTCCTCCTGCCCCAGTTCCTTAGCAACTGCTGCTCCCTCTTCTGAAACAGTTTCCCTCCTTCCTAGACAATTCTTACACATCGTCCAGGTCTAGTACAAGTGTCACCTCCTCAGGAAAGCCTTCTCTGACTACCCATCGTCCCTGGTCCTTGTCAATCTCTTCTATCAGGCACATTCTTAAAACTCTTATGCGGGCTAGGCATGCCCAGCTCATACCTGTCATCCCAGCACGTTGGGAGGCCAACATAGGAGGACTGCTTGAGCCCAAGAATTCGAGACCAGCCTGGGCAACACAACAAGTCCTTGTCTCTATGAAAAAACACAAAAATTAGCTAGGCATGGTGTGTGCCTATAGTCTCAGCTACTCAGGAGTCTGTGGTGGGAGGCTCACCTGAGCCCAGGAGGTTGAGGCTGCGGTGAGCCATGATTGCACAACCGGGGTGACAGAGGAAGACCCTGACTCAAAAAGAAACAAACGAACTCTGATGCTTTCCTTCATGAAACATACACAAACTTTTAATTACACTCTTCTCCATGCAATTTAAGATTTAGGTCTGTCTCACTCTGTACACGCCAAGAAGGCAGACTTTTTGTCTTTTCTGTGTCTGATTCTACCTCCAGTGCCTAGTACAGTGCTTGGTATGTCATATGTTTTTCAGGGATGCCTCCCCCCCAAAAAAAGTCAAGACACAGCCCCATATGTCCAGAGATTCCAAGTAGGAATGAAATAAAAGGTTTGGATTGTATTTGAGGTGTGTTTAAGAAAGGCCAAACCTCTACACTGGCTCTGTAATCATCAGTCAATTCATAAGATATTTACTCAACAAATAAGTAGGTTTCCTCTCCAGTCTGGAGAAAAAGAAGACATGCGCTCATAAACAAATACACATACACACACAAATAAACACATTTCAACCTGACACACGCAGAGGCGTTGCCTGGATCCGCTTAGCTCTCAGATGGGCTTAAGAGAAATACTGAAAAGCGTTCTTGTCACAACTGGACACACGGTTCCAACTTGCCCGGCCCTGACATCTGCATACTAATCGCAGGCACCGGCACGCACGGATCTGTCTTAATCGCTCCCTTTCCCGCCTTGGGAACCTGGTCCAACATCCGTCAAAGCTTGTCAGCCGCTCGGCTGCGGGAAGGGAGATCTCACCGCGGGCCCCTCCCCAGCCCGTGCCGACCCCACCCTCCTCGCCACCACCCCTCCTCCCCCTTCTACTCCGACCTGAGCCTAACTAGCTGCCAGGTTTGGTACCAAGATAGGGAGCCTCTGGAGGCCCGGTGGGCCCCATTATCCCGCGCGCCCTGGGAGCCGGGTCACCCCCGGGACGGCGGCTGCAGCTCCGGCCCCGGTTGCTGCCAGGAAACCTCTTCCGTTGAGAACGCCCCGGGCATGTGGCGCGGGTCCGGGTCCAAGGGGAGGCACCCCACCCATCTGCCAGGGAGACAAAGATCACCAGAAACAAAGGACGCGCACACACACACAGACGCTCGCACTCCAAGTCAAAAGCGAATGCCAGCACTTGGTGCCGTGGCAAACCCAACGGCCAGCTCGATCTGTCTAAACGGATCGTGGAACAACCCAGGAGGGACCATGACGCCGGGAGAACGACGGGCGCTTCCCGGGTTCGGAGCCCGCGCTCCCCCGCCCTCCTCCCGCCCGCGCTGCGGTTCCCGGGCGCGTCCGCAGCCTCGGGACAGTCGTCGCCGAGGATCCGGGCGCTTCCGCCCGGGAGGCGCGCGCACGACCCGGAGTACGAAATACCAACCTTTGGGATCCCAGTTCACCTGTTTCCTTGGAGTCTCGATTGGAAATTTCATTGCTCCGTTGCCCAGAGGGAGAGGAAATGAAAAGAATGAAAATAATAATAAAGTCCTCGAGCGCGGCGCGCCGCGGTGCAGCGGTCCAACAAAACGATCTCGGGGGTGGGGAGTCCTGGGCTGGCTTGTGGAGGGACCCCCGAGAAGGAAGGTGGGTGACACGGGCTTGGGGGTGAGTTGGAGGCGGCTGAGTGCTTGCGCCGGCGGGGAGGGGTGGCCGGCCGCGGCCCCGCGGATAGGAGGAAGAGTGAGGTCGCGAGGGGTGGGTGGAGGACCAGAGGGAGGCGCGGGAGGATGAAGGAGCCACGCCGCTCCCAGAACGCAGCGCTGGCAGGTGGGGGCCGCGCAGCCGGAGGACTGGGGCCGGGAAGAAGCCCACTGCAGTGTCACTCCAGCCCCGAGGCGTGAG